ACAACACAGCGGGTAGGGCATTTGCCTTGCACACCGTTGACCGGGTTTGATTCCCGGCATCCCATATGATCCCCCGAGCACTGCCAGGAGTAATTCCTGAGTGCATGAGCCAGTAATAACCTCTGAGCATTGCCGGGTGTAACCCCCCCCAAAAAAAGCAAAAAAACCCCAGAAACACAGAAAACACTATGCTCAGAAATCACTCATAAAAACCACTATGTTCACAAATCACTCCCAGCTGTCTACCTGCTCTAGAAAAACTTTCTGTGAAAAAAAAAAGAATTTCTGTAATAATTTCTAAACAGGTCATTCTTTCCAAAGCTCTATTATGAATTTTATGTAAATATTCTATGAATGTGAGAGTGAAAGTACACATGCATCACAAATGAAATGTATGCAAATTTAGAACTAAGATCTTGTCAGAAAAAAATTAAAGTACAGCCTCTAATAATCATTACTCAATGCTATAGAACAGTGGAAATTATTGCACAAAAATCACAAGAGTTTTAAATCGTTGTGTTTGACCAAAGAAAAGCCATAAAAAATGTACACAATATTAAGGAGCACAAAAAAATTCTTTAAAGGAAATAATCTCTAAAACACCACTACTCTTTTTTTTTTTGGATCACACCGGGCAATGCACAGGGGTTACTCCTGGCAGTGCCAAAGAGACTATATGGGAATCAAACCCGGGTAAGCTGCATGCAAGGAAAATATCCTACCCGCTGTGCTATCACTCCAGTCCCACCACTACTCTTAAAAGGTATTATTTATGAAGTAGTTACAGCAAGAGTAATGTTCTGAAAGGAGACAAATTCAAATTGCTTTAACAACCAAAGGGAAATGATGGACAGCAAAGTAGTCTGTAAAGCAACAAGGTACAAAACAAATACTGAGGGCACGCTGGCCGCCTCAGTGTGTCAAGTCTACACAGAGACTCGGAAGGGAGGACAGGAATTTAAATATTCACGTAGCATTTAAAGTGAGCATTTAAGGGGCCGAAGAGATAGTACAGTGTGGGAAAATGAGTTTGCCTTGTATATGGCTGGCCCCAGTTCAATCCCTAAGACCACATGTGATCCCTAAATCCTGCTAGGAATGATCCCTGTGCACGGAACCAGGAGTACATCCTGAGCACAGCCAGGTGTGGCCCCCAAAACAAAAGCATTCAACATTGACAAAAAAGTAAGCAAAAGTAACACTTTACAAAAATAATTCTGTATATGAAGCATTGGCAAAGAGAAGCATGTTAAATTTTATTTTCTCTTACCTTTCAGGCATTCAGACAAGTTATAACTAAGGATTACAAATAAGAGTGGGCTGGAGCGATAGCACAGCGGTAGGGCGTTTGCCTTGCACGCAGCCAATATGGCCGACCCGAGTTCAATTCCTCTGCCCTTCTCGGAGAGCCTGGCAAGCTACCAAGAGTATCTCGCCCACACAGCAGAGCCTGGCAAGCTACCCGTGATGTATTCGATATGCCAAACACAGTAACAACAAAGTCTCCAATGGAGACATTACTGGGCCCGCTCTAGCAAATCGATGAACAATGGGATGACAGTGACAGTGACAGTGACAAATAAGAGTGCTGGAGAAATAGTACAGCAGGTAGAACACTTGCCAACAGGTTTGATGCCTAGCATCCTATGTGATCTCCCAAGTTCACAAGGGAGTGATCCCTAGTGCAAAGCCAGGAGTAAGACCTGAGCACTGTAGGTGTGCCCCCCCCCCCCAAAAAAACCTGCAAATATTTTTTCTCATTTTAAGATTCTACAGATCATTATAAGAATTTTAAAGTAAATATGTTTTAATATTTTAACTGTGAGCTTTGTACTCATAATTCTGAAGGGGCCGATATGGAACTGGGTGGTAGAGTACATATTTTACATGTCCCTGGATTTGGCTCTGCCACCAATTAAAAAAAAAACTTACAAAGTTACTAAGGAAAAGCAAAAGGAGGTAAAAGAATTGCACCACAGGGTCAGAGAGATGGTGCAGAGGGCTATGCAGTTGCTTTTCATGTGGCTGACCCAGGTTCAATCCCTTGTATCAAGTGTAATGCCTGGAGTGATCCCTTAGTGCAGAGTCAGGAACAAGCCCAATCACCTTCACCTCCCAAACTGCACAACAATAACCTATCCTTGCCAAGATCATAAAGAATTTTTTGCTTGTAAATAGAGGCACACAGAGCTGTGAAGGCATCCAGAGGCCATGTGGCTAAGGAAAAAAGATAGTTAATGGCTAGCTGACATCAAAGTCAGCACACTTCCATGTCAAGAACATGAGTGACATTTTAAAATACAAATATTATTAAATAGAAAAGCCCTAGAGCAAAATTGCAGGCATCTGTAAGCATGACATATAGCTTGTCTTCTACATAATCAGACAGGCCATATTCATCAGGGTGGGGAATCTCAATTCCTAATATGAAATCAAAGGTTCACTTAGTTTAGTTTGGCTTTACTTCACTCTTGTCTTAGTAAACAGGCAGGCAGTGGTGGTCACTGTTAATTCAAAGTTTTTGACTTGGTGTCTTCACTACTTGCTATTACTGCTTATATTGGCTCAGTTCTTGGATTCTCTAAGAAATTGCAACCAACAGATCTCAGGGCTTAACTCCTTGGCTCAGCTTAGGGATCACTCCTGGCGGGTTTCAGGGGGATCATCTAGGGTGACACAGATCAGACCTGTATCAGCCGTGTGCAAGGCAGGCGCACAACTGCACTAGGTCTCTGGCTCTTCCTCCAATTATTTTCTGATTAAAGCCCAGCCCCCATCTAAAACCATTTACCTAGGAACACCCTATGTTATCACAATTTCTGGTCACAGAGTTAAGGGATATTTTAATCCATTTTATAATGTTTCCTAACATATAAACAACAATGATAGAAATTCTCCATAGAATCATTTGTTGAATTGTTATTGGTGGTGGTGGTAGTGGGATATATATTTATTTAACATCTATTTATATGTTAGATATAAATAGAATTTTTCTAATGGCTATATTTTATTCGGGATCCATAATTTAAGGAGAAAAATCAGAAGTATGTTAAAAAGAAGCACACATTGATTGAAAATTTTATCAAATGAGGACCACATGTTTAAAAAAGTTTTGAGGGGGCTAGAGAGATAGTTCACCAGGTAGGACACTTGACTTGCCTTGCATGCAGCCCATGGATTCAATCCCCAGCACGCCATATGATCCCCTAAGCCTCACCAGGAGTGATTCCTGAGCACAGAGCCAGGAGTAAACCCTGAGAACAGTGGGTACGGCCCCCTAATAAAATAAAGTGTTTGGTTTTATAGGAAAATGGCATCTGGAAAACCAGTTCAATTGGGGGAAAGCTCCTTTGTCCTGCAAAAGCAACATGAGACAGGACAGATGTGAAAACAGGATATAAAGTACTAACAGTTTTCTTTTAGTAAGAAAAGAGAAAAATTATGTCATTTAAACCACCATTATGTTTTTTTTCTGTTATACTTACATAACTTGATCTTAAGTGACAACATATAAACAAAAACATGGATTAAGGGGGTCAGAGAGACAGTAAGTAGAGCTAGCAGAGCATTTGCCTTGCATGCAGTGGACACAGATTCAATTCCCAGCATCTGATATGGTCCCCAGAGTCTGTCAGGAGTGAGTCCTGAGTACAGATCCAGGAGCAACCCCTGAGCATTGCTGGGTGTGGCCCTAAAACAAAACATATATCCATATCCATATATATGTGTGTGTGTGTGTGTGTGTGTATGTACATAGCACTGTAGCACTATCCTCCCGTTGTTCATTGATTTGCTCAAGCGGGCACCAGTTACGTCTCCAATTTGAGACTTGTTGTTACTGTTTTTGGCATATTGAATACGCCAAGGGGAGCTTGCCAGACTCTGCCATGCGGGCAGGATACTCTTTGGTAGTTTGCCGGGCTCTCCGAGAGGGACGGAGGAATGGAATCCAGGTTGGCCGCATGCAAGGCAAATATCCCACCCACTGTGCTATCGCTCCAGCCCATATATATACACACATACATCATATGGATTATATATAAAGGTAAAGGTAAAGGCCCTCCCGTTGATCGTCGATTGCTCGAGCGGGCCCAGTAACGTCTCCATTGGAGACTTTGTTGTTACTGTGTCTGGCATATCGAATACTCTCGGTAGCTTGCCGGGCTCTCTGAAGTGGTTTAGTAGAAAAACTATTCAGTAGAAGAATTTCTAGTAGGTAAGGTTGCTGAAAGTAGGAAAAAGTTACCAACAGGAAAGAGGATGGCTTCTCAGAAGAATTCTGTTCACTAGGAGAAGGGGCATCCATGAGAGTTTTTCTGAATAATGTATTACCTGTATTAAAAAAAAAGACTCATGTCTACCTATTGTTAAAGCAATAAATAGATTTCTCACTTTAATAGATACACGATCACGACCATCCTGTTGTTCGTCGATTGCCTCGAGCAGGCCCCAGTAACATCTCCTTCGTCCTAGCCCTGAAATTTTAAAAAGTGCCATATTCAAGGCTCTTTCAGGGTTAGGAGAATGAGACCCATCATTGTTACTGGTATTTGGCATATTGGGTACACCACGGGGAGATTGCCAGACTCTGCCGTGTGGGCAGGCTACATTTGGTAGCCTGCCAGTTTGTCCAAAGTAGGAATGAGATAATAAGATGTTGCGCAGCCACAAATGTGGCTGCGTGCTTCTGGAAGCTGGGTTTTATAGTCTCTCAGTCTTGGCCGTTGATGGGATTACTCGGTGCCGGGGGCCAGTTGGTGGGTGTGACCCCTGCCTACTGGTCACAGTAAAGTCCATTAACTGTCTTCCATCCACCCTATTAAAGAACATTTCCAGGGCCATTTTTCTAAGATGATAGATATAATGTGTCACTAAACTATGGCTGTAAGCTACTTCATTTAATCACTGAGGACATAGGAGGTCTGAATGTAAGAACAGTTTGTTTTCTATCTGCTTCTGGTAGACTTCAATTCATATATATCTGTATCTCCCTACCCCAAAAAACAAGTATTTTATTTTAGAAGTATCTTTCTTTATTCCATATATGCTTTAAAATATTTATTGAGCAGAGAAAAAGGAAGGGAGGTAAAAAGATGAAATAGGTGTTGATTTAACAGTTGTCTTCCAAAGTTCTGTTGCACTTTGTTCTTTAGATGTCTGTTAAAGAGAGAGAGATGTTTTATTTATTATTGAATCACTGTGAGACAGATATCACGAAGCTGTTTATAATTGGGTTTCAGTCATACAATGTTCCAATACCCATCCCTCCACCGGTGTAATTTCCCAGCACCAGTGTCCCCAGTTCCCCTCCCACCCTCTAAGCCACCTCCAACCTCCTGGTTTGCCTCTATGGCAGACAACTGAGATAGCTGTTTTAAGGCTATCTTCATTCAGGAAGTTCTCTTATATACAGGCATATTTAATATTTGTTTTTTAATATGTTTAAATATTGTTGACAGTTTTAAAAACATACTCTTGGGGCATGTTCAAGATCAAACTGGAGCACATACTTTGTATACAGGATCCCTGGGTTTAATCCCAGGCTCTGCATGGTCCCCCCATGCACTTCTGCGAGTGACCACTAAGCACTACTGGGAGTGACCCCAAACCCACAAAATAAATCATATAAATTAAAAACACGTTCTCTGATAACACCAATAGCTGATTAAGGGGCCACAGGGATAGCTCAACAGGCTGAGCACATGTGTGCAAGGCCCAGGTTGATCCCCAGCCCACAACACACAGGAAGCGATTTCCAAGCATAGAGTTAGGAATCACCCTTGGTTAGCACCCGGTCTGGCCCCCACCCCCAAATACAGCTAGCCACCCAACAAAAAGAATAATTGAGTAAAAAGAATTAATGTTGCATTAATTAATGAGTCAGATTGAAATAAATCATTTCCTCATGAATACAGCCATCAATGCTATACCTTTTGGGGCCAGAGCAAGAGTAAAGCAGGTAGGACATTTGCCTTGCACATGGCCAACCTCTGTTCAATCCCCGGCATCCCATATGGTCCCCCAAGCACTGCCAGGAAGAACCCCTGAGTAACATCAGATGTGACCCAAAAAGCAATTTTTTTTTAAATGCTATGCCATTTGAAATGTGCTACTGCATAAAATTTTACAGGCCTTTCCATTTTTCTATAACACCAGTTGCTCAACAGAGAAAAAAACAGATAACTAAATAATAATTTTATATAATATTTATCATGATAATATTTATCACGAATATGATTTCACTTCATCTGTTGTTTATTTCCTTAAACAAACAAGACTACATACGTGGCTCGAACTTCAGTTCTCCACCTGGCCCAGATGGAGGACTCCCTTTCTGCAATTTTTTCTGTTCCATCTGCTGTACAACCTAATGATGGGAAAAGAATGTCTTACAAATAAATATTATCTGATTTTCTCTGACATGAGTCACCCTTGACAATGGACAAAAAAAAATAAAAATGATATTTCAAGATGAGACATTCAAGCCCTGCAATTTAGAAAATTGTCCACCAAGCAGTTTTTAAAATACCAAAATTTAAAATACTACTACTATAGGTAAAGGTAAAGGCCCTCCCGTTGATCGTCGATTTGCTCGAGCAGGCCCAGTAACGTCTCCATTGGAGACTTTGTTGTTACTGTGTTTGGCATATCAAATACTCTCGGTAGCTTGCCGGGCTCTCCGAGAGGGGCGGAGGAATCGAACTCGGGTCGGACATGTTGGCCGCGTGTAAGGCGAACGCCCTACCGCTGTGCTATTATAGTGAACTATTATAATAAAAAATGCCAGTCTTTTAGGCAAGTGCCAAAAATCCTTTATCAAAGCAGAGAAAACCCCACCTGATGATATTCCAGTTTCTGAGCTTCAAGCTGGTCATGCTGACGCTGGAGCTCTTCTCTTTGTTTCTGAAGGTCATCTGCCTTTTTCTTCAGTTCTGTTTCTTGTGCAGAGATCATATTTTCATATTCTTTTAATTCTTCCTCGGTGAAGAACTGTTGCTGATCCAGTGTCTAAGAAGGAATAATGGAGGAAAGGATTATTAAAAATAATCTTAGAAAGGCAACAAGGTGCAGCTCAGCTTTAAAATTCTCTGGTTAGCACAGTACAAATATAGGACAACACGGGCCAGAGATTTGGTAAAGAAGTTACGGTGTTTTACCTTGCATGTGGTGAACCCCAGTAAAATCCCTGGAACTTTTGGTCCCATAAGCACTATTAAGAGTAAGCTCTATCTAAGGAACTTTCCTCAATATAGTCAAAGTCATCTACCACAAGCCCACAGCAAGCATCATTCTCAACGGGGAAAAACTAAAAGCCTTCCCTCTAAGATCAAGACTAGGTTGCCCGCTCTCACCACTCCTATTCAATTTAGTACTGGAAGTACTGGCCATAGAAGTTAGGTAAGAAAAAGATATCAAGGACATACAGATAGGAAAGGAAGAGATCACACTATCACTATTTGCAGAGGATATGATACTCTACTATATTTAGAAAACCCTAAAGACTCTACAGAGAAACTCCTAGAAACGATAGGTCTATATAGTAAGGTGGCAGGCTACAAAATCAACACCCAGAAGTCCATGGCTTGCTTATATACAAATAACAAAGCTTTCTCCAGATGGAACCCTGGCGACTGTGAGCTTACACAAGCAAGGCTCCGGTATGTGGCTTTCAGGACTTAATCTTCAAACTGGACTCAGAAACTCCCAGTTGAATCCCAAAATGGAATAGCTCCCTACAGAGACGTCTATGGAACCCACCCATTTACAATCTTAGAATTTCAGAAACACATGGCCACTTAGGTGGCCGCATGATCTTTCATGATATGCACAATGAGCCATAAAAAGTAAATGATCTAGCATTTGCCCCTGGAAGGCGGGCTTAAACGGTGGTGGGAAAAATTCGAGCAAAATATAATGCCCCCAAATAGAGAGAGAATATCTGAGCATTTGCCTACCATAGAGGTAAGGTGAAGACTGTGGGGGACAGGGGGAGTTATGGGGACATTGGTGGTGGAAAGTTTGCACTGGTGGAGGGACAGGTGGTCAATCATTGTATGGCTGAATCTCAAACATGAGAGCTTTGTAACTGTATCTCATGGTGGTTCAATAAAAAATTAAAAAAAAAAAAAAGAAGAACAGAGACATTAAAAAAAAAAAGGTCCTGGAGCTGGCGCAATAGCACAGCAGGTAAGGCGTTTGCCTTGCAAGCAGCCAACCCAGGTTCGATTCTCAGCATCCCATATGGTTCCCTGAGCAGCGCCAGGAGTAATTCCTGAGTGCAGAGCTAGGAGTAACCCCTGTGCATCCCCGAGTGTGACCCCCCCCAAAAAAATAAATCCTGTTCACAATAGTAACTCAGAAAATCAAGTACCTCAGAATCAGCTTAACTAAAGAGGTGAAGGACCCATACAAGGAAAATTCCAAAACACTACTTCAAGAAATAAAAGAGGGGAGCTGGAGTGACAGCACAGCGAGTAGGGTGTTTGCCTTGCACGCAGCTGACACGGGTTCAATTCCCAGCATCCTATATAGTCCCCTGAGCACCCCCAGGAGTAATTTCTGAGTGCATGAGCCAGAAGTAACCCCTGTGCATTGCTGAGTGTGACCCAAAAAGAAAAAAAAAGATATAAAAAGGACACTAGGAAATGGAAACACATCCCCTGCTCAAGTATAGGAGGATTAAAGTTATCAAGGGCTGGAGCAATAGCACAATGGGTAAGGCATTTGCCTTGCACGCAGCCAACATGGCCGACCCGAGTTCGATTCCTCCGCCCCCTCAGAGAGCCCGGCAAGCTACCAAGAGTATCCCACCCTCACGGCAAAGCCTGGCAAGCTACCCGTGAGATATCCTATATGCCAAACAAAGTAACAAGTCTCACAATGTTACTGGGCCCGCTCGAGCAAATTGATGAACAATGGGAGGACAGTCACAGTGAACATTATCAAAATGGCAATACTCCCCAAAGTACTATACAGATTTAAAGTGGTCCTTATTAGGATACCCATGACATTTTTCAAAGAAACAGACAAAATACTCCTGAAATTTATATGGAACAAAAAACCCCCACGAATAGCTAAAGCAATCATTGGGAAAAAAGGAGATGGGTGGCATCACCCCACTTCAAACTGTACTACAAAGCAGTAGTCATTAAAACAGCATGGTATTGGGCTAGAAACAGACCCACAGACCAGTGGAACAGAGTTGAATATTCTGTCACAGACTCTCAAATATATGACCACTTAATCTTTGACAAAGGAGCAAGAAATGTGACGTGGAACAAGAAAAGTCTCTTCAACAAGTGGTGCTGGGAAAACTGGATAGCTACCTGCAAAGAAATGAACTCTGACCTCTGTCTAACGCCAGGCACAAAAGTCAGATCAAACTGGATTAAAGATCTCAATAGCAGACCTGAATCCATAAGGTACATAGAGGAAAATGTAGGCAGAACCCCCCAGGACACTGAAGCTAAAACTTTAAGGATGAAACACCACTGAGCAAGTGGAAACAAACATAAACAAATGGAACTTCATTAAACTAAGAAGCTTCTGCACCTCAAAAGAAACAGTGACTAAAATACAGAGAGAGTCCACAGAATGGGAAAGAATATTTACCCAATACCCATCTGGTAAGGGATTAATATCCAGGATATACAAGACACTAGTAGAACTGTACAAGAAAAAAACCTCCAACCCCATCAAAAAATGGGGTGAAGAAATGAACAGAAGCTTCCTCAAAAAAGAAATACAAATGGCCAAAAGGAACATGAAAAAAATGCTCGACAGGGGCTGGAGAGATAGCACAGCGGGTAGGGTGTTTGCCTTGCATGCGACTGACCCGGGTTCGATTCCCAGCATCCCATATGATATCCTGAGCACCGCCAGGAGTAACTCCAGAGTGCAGAGCCAGGAGTAACCTCTGTGCATCGCCAGGTGTGACCCAAAAAGCAAATAAATAAATAAAAATGCTCCACATCACTAATCATTTGCCTTTTGCCTTTTGGGTCACACCCACCGATGCTCAGGGGTCACTCCTGGCTCTGCACTCAGGAACCACTCCTGGCGGTGCTCGGCTGGAGCGACAGCATAGTGGTAAGGCGTTTGCCTTGCGCGGCCTGCCGATCCGGGTTCAATTTCTCCACCCCTCTCGGAGAGCCTGGCAAGCTACCAAGAGTATCTTGCCCGCACAGCAAAGCTTGGCAAGCTTGCTGTGATGTATTCAATATGTCAAATACAGTAACAACAAGTCTTAAAATGGAGACGTTACTGGACCCACTTGAACAAATGGATGAACAACGGGAGGATGATCGCTAATCATTAGGGAGAGGCAAATCAAAACAATGATGAGATATCATTTCACACCACAGAGACTGGCACACTTTCAAAAGAACAAAAGCAACCAGTGCTGGCGTGGATGTGGGGAAAAGGGGACACTTTTTCACTCTTGGTGGGAATGCCTACCGGTTCAGCCTTTCTGGAAAACAATATGGACATTCCTTCAAAAACTAGAAATTGGGCTTCCATATAACCCCGCAATACCATTTCTGGGAATATATTTCGAGGATGCAAGAAAGCACAGTAGAAATGACATCTGTACCTATATGTTCAATGCAGCACTGTTCACAATAGCCAAAATCTGGAAACAACCCGAGTGCCCGAGAACAGAAGACTAAATTTAAAAAGAAACTTTGGTACATCTACACAATGGAATACTGTGCAACTGTTAGGAGAGATGAAGTTATGAAATTTCCTTACAAGTGGATAGACATGGAGAGTACCAGGCTAAGTGAAATTAGAGAGAGGAACAGACATAGAAAGACTGCACTCATTTGTGGAGTATGAATAAAATGAGATTGACACCCAAGGACAGCAGACACAAGGGCCAGGAATATTGTCCCATAGTTGGAAGCCTGCCTCATGAGTAGGGGGAGAAGGCAGCTGGAATAGAGAAGGGATCACTAAGAAAATGATGTTTGGAGAGATTGGTCAGGATGGGAGATGTGTACTGAAAGTAAATAAAATACCAAACATGAGACCCTCACAGTATCTGTATTGCAAACCATAATGTCTAAAAATAGAGAGAGAGAATGGGGGAAACTGTCTGCCATGGAGAGAGTGGGAGGATGGGAAAGGGGAGATATACTGGGGAGATTGGTGGTGGGGAATGTAAACTGGTGAAGGGATGAGTGTTTGATCGTTGTATGATTGTAACTCAAACATGAAAGCTTGTAACTGTATCTCACAGTGATTCAGTAAAATAAAAATAAAATAAAGAGCAAAAAAATACAAAAGAAATACAACTGAAAAATGTGAAATGAGAAGAAAATAAAAAGTAATGTGGCATAGTTAAAAAAAAAAGGGAGCCCTGAGCCAGAGTCAGGAGTAACTCCTGAACATGGCCGCGTGTGACCCTCCTTGTATGCCCCCCCAAATAGTATCTACCATGTTAATACCTTTTGGACAAGAAAGAACAAATGAGAAAAAAATGTACACAAAAGAAAAAACTGAAAGGGCTAATGAAATTGGTTTCCTACAAGGAAGAGTACTGGTGTGAAGGACAAAGAGAATGTAGAAAAGTAAATTACACGCCTATGAAACACATGTTTTGATTTTTGTTTGCTTGTTTGTTTGGGGGCCACACCTGGCAGTGATCAGGGTCTCTCCTAGTTCTGTGCTCAGAGATTATACCTGGTGGGGGCTTGGAACTCTGGGGATTGAACCTGGGTCAGCTGTGTGCAAGGCAAGTGTACAGCAAGTGCTTGCTGTATTATCCCTCCATCTCATGAATACACACATTTAAAATAGAAGATTTTTGGAGGGACTGGGGATGCATCTCAGTGGCAGAGCACTTGTCTTGCAGCTGTGAGGCTCTGGGATTGATCCCTGGAACTGCGTATTTCCTAGAGCATTGCTGGGTCCCAGCAATAAATGATCTGGCCTGATTGGCCAACCATCACCATCACTAGAAATGGCTCCAGGCCCTCTGACTATCGCTTAGGGGTTATTTCCCCTCCAAAATAAATAAATAAATAAAATCTACAAGGTCAGAAAAAAATTGAACACAAACAGAAGCCAATAAACCCAGAATTTCTTTTTTGGTGAAGCTCCCAGAAAGTAAGGAAACCAAGAAACTCTCAACTATAGCTGTGTCCTAGGTTAAAACCCAGAACAAAATCTAAAATATCAAACTCTTACTTTACAGAGGCATGAAACAGCAATTCTGAAACTCTTTGCATAGTTCCAGACTCGAGAAAATAAGTGAAACATTATTATGGAGGGTTAAAGAGATAGTACAGTCTTCTGCCCCCGTGCCTGGCTGTTCCTTGCTGGAGCCCCTTGGAGGGGAGCGGGTTGAGCTTTCCTCCCCGCCCCGACCAGGGCTCCGGCAGCCGAAGACCTCCAGGACCAGCCACCACCATGCTGAGACCACTCTCCGCACACATGAAGGTACTGGCAGAGGGACAAAGCCACGCGGGTTCCGGGGCCTAGATCTCCGAGCCTACTCGGATTGGAGTCGAGCATCCTCCACCCAGATCCTCCAAATTCCAGTAGGCGGGGGTCACACCCACCACCTGGCCCCCTGGCGCCGTGTAATCCCATCAATGGCCAAGATTCAGAGACTATAAAATCCAGCTCCTGGACGAGACCAGTGCAGTCTTCTGCCCCCGCGCCTGGCTGTTCCTCGCTGGAGCCCCTTGGAGGGGAGCAGGTTGAGCTTTCCTCCCCGCCCCGACCAGGGCTCCGGCAGCCAAAGACCTCCAGGACCAGCCACCACCATGCTGAGACCACTCTCCGCACACATGAAGGTACTGGCAGAGGGACAAAGCCACGCGGGTTTCGGGGCCGAGATCTCCGAGCTTACTCGGATTGGAGTCGAGCATCCTCCACCCAGATCCTCCAAATTCCAGTAGGTGGGGGTCACACCCACCACCTGACCCCCTGGCGCCGTGTAATCCCATCAACGGCCAAGACTCAGAGACTATAAAATCCAGCTCCCAAAACCGCATTCGCGGCCACGCGACATCTCATCAGGACATCTTTTAATGACATCTTATTATCTCATTCCTACTTTGGATAAACTTGCAGGCTATCGAATGTAGCTTGCCCACAGGGCAGAGTCTGGCAAACTCCCCGTGGCGTACCAAATATGCCAAATACCAGTAACAATGATGGGTCTCTTTCTCCTAAAGAGTCTTGAATATAATCTCAGGACTATGATGAAAGAGACGTTACTAGGGCCTGCTCGAGGCAATCGACGAATAACAGGATGATGAAATGAAAATGAAGTGAAAACAAGAGATAGTACAGGGGCTAAGGCTTGTATGCAGCTAACCCTGGTTCAATCCCAGGCACAGCATGGTCCCACCAGCACTGCAGGGTGTGGTTCAACCTTCCCCCAAAGGGTAAAGGAGAGCCAGGATTTATAAAGACTATAGAAAGAAGGAAAGATAGTTGATTAGAAGTGGAGGCATCAGATTAGAATTTAAGAAACTATCAGTATGAATTTAGGCAATTTAATCTCTATTGAGTCAAAAATACATACAAGTATGTAAAGATGTGTCTATATGTTTGTGTATGTTATATATACACATTAAATATTATATTCATTTTTGTGGGGAAGGGCGCGGGGAGGCGCTCACAAATTACACAGGCAGCCCAGGGCCCCATAGGCCATTCTTAGTCTATCAGAGCACAGCTTGTTGCAGGGTCTGAGGGATCCGTTGCTACCCAGGCCCTGGGCTTCTTGGGGTCTCCAGCGCTGCAATTCTGGATGGGGACCATGTGGTGCCAAGGATCAAACTTGGGTTTGGCAAAAGCTGGGCATGTGCCCTATCTGCTGTACTGTGTCCCAGTCCCGAGGTGTGGACACTGTCCTCCTGTTGTTCATCAATTTTCTTGAGCGGGCCCAGTAACATCTCCATTGGAGACTTTGTTGTTACTGTGTTTGGCATATCGAATACGTCACGGGGAGCTTGCCAGGCTCTGCTGGGTGGGCGAGATACTCTCGGTAGCTTGCCGGGCTCTCCGAGAGGGGCGGAGGAATCGAACTCGGGTCGGCGATGTTGGTTGCATGCAAGGCAAACGCCCTACCCGCTGTGCTATCGCTCCAGCCCTTGTCCCAGTCCCAATATAGGTTTTTGTTTGTTTTTTAACTAATCAAATCTGTTATGGCTCTCTGGGAACAAAAAGCAAGTCCACTGGTCATCTCTAGTTGGCCACCGATCTCTATGGAAAAGAACCAGGAGTCCCCAGAAAAATGGCTGGGAAAGAACAAGATCATCTGTCTATGTCATTTTTCTTTTTTTGGGTCACATCCAGCGATGTTCATGGATTACTCCTGGTTTTGCACTCAGGAGTCACTCCTGGCGGTGCTCAGGGGACCATAATGGGATGGCTGGGACTCGAACCCAGGTCAGCCGTGTGCAAGGCAAACGCCCTACCCGCTGTGCTATTGATGTCAATGTCTTTTAAGCTTAAACAAACAAACAAAAAAAGTCCTTGGTCAATGATGGCCAATTCAGAGTATCTTTTTCTTTCTTTTTTCTTCTTTCCTTTTGATTTTTGGTCCACACCTGACAGTGCTCAGTCACCATATGGGTTTTCAAGGATAGAATGTGAGTCAGCCACATGCAAGGCGAGTGCCCTGCTTGCCATACTCTCTCTCCAACCCTAAGCATTTGTTGTTGTTTTGAGGCCACATCTGGCAGTGCTCCTGGCTTATTCCTGGCCTCTGCACTCAAGGATCACCATGATTCTACACAGATAAAAAGTAGATCAAGGGGCTGGAGCAACAGCACAGCAGGTAGGGCGTTTGCCTTGCACGTGGCCAACTGGTTTGATTCCCAGCACCCCATATGTCCCCTGAGCACTGCCAGGGGTGATTCCTGAGTGCAGAGCCAGGAGTACCCCTGAGCATCCACGGGTGTGACCCAAAAAGAAAACAAACAAAAAGTAGATAAAGGAAAGGGATAGCTGTTTCTTACATTAGGAAGTCAACTAGTAAATGTAGAATAGTGATAGGGAATCACCATTTTTCAGTGGGAGTAGTAACATCTAATTCTTTTTATTTTTTAAACACCTAATTCTTACCAGAATGACCAATGGATACTGAAATTAGCAAACAAATTTTTACATAGTGTCAAAGTACAGCCTCAAAGTTACAAAAAGTATTTAAAAAATAACTTTCTCAATTTCAATGCTGAAACTAGCAAACAATTAAATTTTTACCTAGTGTCAAAGTATAGCCTCAAAGTTACAAAAAGTTTTTAGAAAATAACATTCTCAATTTCAATTTATCTTTTTTTTTCCTTTTTTTTAAATTTTTTTTTTTATTAGTGAAACACCATGAGGTACAGTTGTAGATTTACAATTTTTTGTGCTTGGGTTTCGATTATACAATGATCAGATACCCATAGGTACCTATCTTTTAAAAAGATACTTCTACAAAGTTTATCAACAGTCTAAAAAAATATTTCTCTGGAAAGATCAACAGTCAAATCCTGAAGTTTTAGTTTAAGAAAGTGTGTTGCACTTCCACATAAGTAAAATTAAGGGCCGGAGCAATAGTACAGCAAGTAGGGCATTTGCCTTGCACGCAGCCGACCCTGGTTCAATCCCTGACATCCCATATGGTCCTCCAAGCACAGCCAGGAGTAATTCCTGAGTGTAGATGGGGAAATCCCATTTCCCCACCCCACATTCTCTCCCACAGGTGAGTGCCCCCTGTGTGCCCCTAGGCATAATAACAATGACAAATGATGACAAATATTCCTGGGTCCTGTTAATACTGCATTATCAGAAAGTCTAGATCCCATCAAATTATCCCTATTTCCTCCTAATATAGAAAAAAAAGCACTCAGATTAAAGAAAACGTTTATAGCAGTACTTTCTTTTTGAGAGTGAGTCCCGGGTGAGCACAGCGGTAGAGCTGCAGCCTTGCAGGCTGAGATGAGCCTGATCCCAGCACTACTCTGCCTCCCAGCAGCACAGCTGTTTGGGATCCCCTGAGTCACATGACCAAGTGAGAGACATCTGGCACACCACTAGTGTGTAAGCACGCAACTGTGCACTCATGACTGGGTGAGCACTGCTACCACAGAGTGGGAGCACCACACCAAATGTGCAGCCCCCAGCAAGCACCTTTACCCAGTGTGAAGCACTGCAGCCCAGCCCATTCCCTGATCATAACAGCAGCAGCAGCAGCAAAAAAACAAATGCCACAGAGACAAAGGGTGGGCGGGGGGGAAGGGGAAGAAGGATAGTATCTAACCTTTCATCTATACCTTTAAATATATTTATCATTTCTAATTTTTAAAAGCGGACATTATTTTTATACTTAGAAAAAGTAGTTTGGGGGTCAGAGAGCTAGCTTGATTGGCTTGACAGCATGATTTGCATGTGGGACGCTCAAGTTCAATTTTTAGCAAGCACTATGCAGAGTGACTCCACAGAGCTAGGAGTAGCCCCCGAGCACCATCAGATATGACCTCAAAAAAAAAGTCAGAAAATATTTTCAAAATTTTAAAGAAAAGTACAAATTTTTTAAAAAAGATTTAATTATAAGCAATGTGATTATAAACAAGGGATCAACTTCCAAAATTTTTCTTTTTTTAATAGAAAAATTCATTCTACCAATACTATGATGCATAAGTGGAAGTCATGCAGAAACATACCAGAGAATGAGAACTAAAAGGAGAATAGTCTGATGCGAATTGCTTAAATCATACATATCATTGGAAGTGGATTATTACCTCCCAGCTATCAGGTTCCAGGAATTCCTTCTTCTCTGTAGCTTTCATAAACTCTTCTAGGGTCACCAGTCGGTCCTTGTTGGTATCCACCTGGTTAAAGGAAAATGTATGGGCAAAAATATCATTTTCTTATACTATTTACATGCTAGAAACTGTTTTCTAAGAGATGCTGCATAAACATTTGGCATTTAGGGCCAGTCTAATGTTATTGGAAACTGCAGGTCGAGAAGAACAACAAGAAAAGAATACTCAACATTATTATACTAGAATCAGAAAATCCTTTACTTTTTCTTCTATGTAATGCAAATATGAAAAAACATAGGGAATATATATATCCCTGACACCCAAACATCAACATGTTTCAGTGTACTGATCTGGCTAGTTAAGGTTAATACTGTTTTTTTGGGTTTGGGGTTTGTTTTTTTTTAGTTTTAGGGTCATATCCTTTGGTGCTCAGGGTTTACTTCTGGCTCTGTGCTCAGAGATCACTCCTGACTGGGCTTGAGGGACCATATGAGATGCTGGTAATCAAATCCAAGTTAGCCACCTGTAAGGCAAGTGCCCTGCCTGCTGTACTCTCCAGCCTCTATATCATCCCTCTGGTCTTTGAGAATTTTATTAAATATATAAATTTTATTTATTTAATACATATGTATTAAGGATCCCAGGCCTAAATAAAGGTCCCAATTTATCATTAAGGGCTTAAATACCCTAACTACATTGTACAGATCAGAGTTTTCAGTTTAGAAAGGTGAACAAGAAATAAATACTTGCTGTCGTACCATTATGGTATTGAGCTTCTTTTCCTTGACAAAAATTAAAATAGCCTTTTAAAATAATATTGTATACTACATAGTATTTTGCTTTTAAAGAATGTTTCATAGCTAATATGCAATAGGATCTTAAATCTTTTAAAATATTTAGTTTTTATAAACTGAGTATTTTTGTAGCACAAATGATAATATTCAACCATACAACTATTCTATATATTTCTTTTTCACCTTATGTGAAGATTCATTGCAATCACTTGAATAATCTATAGCAATAACATTAATTACAGACCTACCTCATTCATTACATGTTCTCTCATTCGAAGCCTTTCTTCCTCCATTTCGACCATATCATCCTCTTCATTTTTGGGGTCATATACTTTTTCCAACTATAAAGAAAATTTGAAAGCCAACATAAAAGAAAGGAAGATAATAGGGAAAAAGTAAAACAATGAATATTTAATAAATTCATTTACCTCTTTAATAAATAGAGCTTCTAATTCTTGTTCATCTAGGAAGCCATCATTATTGACATCTAATGTTTAAAAGTTACAAATGCAAAAGTTGACTTTAATGTCTTAGAAAATAAATGAAATACAACCATATATAAAGGTTTGCAAATGTAGCAAAACAAAGCATCAATATGCTACATAAAAATAATTCTTTTTCATCATATCTTAGCTCAATCCACTGGAAAAACTCATAATAGTCTTTTAGAAAATATATACAAGAATAAAAGTGGATTATAATATTATAGCATAAAGCATGTTAGATATAACCTAGAATACCTTCATTTTAAAGAGTAACCTGAAAAACAATTCAAGGTAAATGGGCATAAAAACAGCTAATGGGGGGCTGGAGATATAGTATAATGAGTACAGTGAGTACTGCGTACCTAGCACACAGCCAACAAGGGTTCAATTGCCAGCACCTCAGATGGTCTCTGAACCCCACCAGGAGTCATCCCTGAATACAGAGCCAGGAGAAGGGCCTGAGCACTGATGGGTATAGCCCAAAAACAAAATAAAAGAAACACACACACACACACACACACACACACAAACACTCACACAGCTATTAGGGCCAGAGAAATAGTACAGTGGGCAGGACAATTGCCTTGGATGTGGTCAAGCCAGATTTGATCCCTGACACCACATATAGTCCCCTGAGTTCCACCAGGATTGACCCCTGAGAGCAGACCCAGCAATAAGCTGTGAGAACTATCAAATACAAAAACAAAACAAAACCAAAAACACAGCTACGAGGGCTGGAAAGATAATTCAGTGGGCTGAGTATCTGAGTATGTGCTTGGCATGCAGAAGACTTGGATTCAATCCTTGGCTCCACATGGGCTCCAAGCACAGCCAGAGACAACCTCAGGTGTCCAAAGAACACAACAAAACAATCCACAGAGACTCACTTAAGTAATTTACCCTACAGATCAGTAATAAGGTTTGTTATTTCACCCTAGAGAGAAAATATAAACATTTATTGTCAGTAGGACAATAGAAACTATCTTTTAATAGATTCTACCATATAAACAAAACAATCTTGGCAGAAATTAAGAATAAAGGAGGTATAATTTTTCAAACATCGCATGTGAAGATTTATATTTGTATCAAATCTGTTACCATGTAATTTGAAAAATGTCTTGGGGTCGAAGTCATTAGGATCCAATCCATCAGCTTCTTCCCAAACCTCCTTGAGTTGATCTTTGCTTCCCTGTAAGTCAATTTTTGAAAACAACATGTAGCTGATGTGTACATATTATAAAAGTAAAATATAAATTTAAGGAACTTTATATAATAATGAATCAATATTTAAATATGAAATCTAATTATAAATTATATCACCTGGTATAGCACAGCGGTAGGGCTTTCGCCTTACAAGCAGCCAACATGGCCGACCCAAGTTCGATTCCTCTGCCCCTCTCGAGAGCCCGGCAAGCTACCGAGAGTATTTGATATGCCAGACACAGTAACAACAAAGTCTCCAATGGAGATGTTACTGGGCCCGCTCGAGCAAATCGATGATCAACGGGAGGGCCTTTACTTTATTTACTTTACTTTTTACTTAGTTTTATAAAGTCATAATCCTTACTGGATGATTAACTTTGGGATGATTTTCATGCTTTTTCTTCATTTCTTGGAATTTAATTTCTTCTTCTTTTCTCTTTTCTTCATTTAATGTTTTTAAATATTCCCTCCTCTCATGCTCCTTCATCATTTCATACTTTTTAAATTCTTCATGCCGAGTCTTATCATAATGTTCTAGATCACTTGTAGCCTATAATGAAATGTTTTAATTAAATTATATACATGTTTAAAAAATATAAAGGCATTTTTGCATTTAATATACTTTTTAACAGAATGCATTATAGAACAACCAGAATATATAACAGTCCTCTTTTTAATTTATACCATTTTATGTTAGTGATTAAAAAAATTTCTTTTGGTTTTTAGGCCGCATATGTTAATCAGGGCTTACTTCTGGCTCTGCACTCAAGGATCACTCCTGGTGGGGATCGGGGGACCATGTGAGGAGCCACGAATTGATATCCTGGTTGGCCATGTGCAAGGCAATTGCCTTACCCACTGCACTATTGCTCAGGCCCCATGCTAGTCATTATTATTACAGGAATATAGACAAAGAAAACAAAACGTTTTTTTCCTTTTTAATTGAGAGGGGTTTTTGTGGGCTTTTTTGGGGGGGGAAGGGGGCTATTAGGGGGCACACCTGGAGATGCTCAGGTTACTCCTGGCTCTGAACTCAGGAATTATTCCTGGCAGAGCTCAGGGCATCTATGGGATGCTAGGGATTGAACCAGGATTGGCTGTGTGCAAGGCAAGTGCCCTCCCTGCTATGCTACTGCTCCAGCCCCTGAAAACAAAAGGTTCTTAAAGTTCCTCATAAATAAATAAAAACTGACTTGAACTAGAAGGAAAAGACCCTCAAATCTGCACAAAAGAGAAACTAGAATGTTTTCTAACCACAACATGAGATCTATACACTCTTATTTCAACTTCCTGAGGTCAGAGATGGTTCATAATTTCTCTCAATATTCGACATAGGAGCCAAGAATATTCCCTGAAACAATTTTGTAATGCTCTATCTCATGATGATTCAAGTAAAAAAAAGGGAAATTTTATTTATTTATTTATTTATTTATTTTGCCTTTTGGGTCACACCCGGTGATGCACAGGAATTAGTTTATGCACTCAGGAATTACTCCTGGCGGTGCTCGGGGGACCATATGGGATGCTGGGAATCGAATTTGGGTCGGCCACATGCAAGGCAAACACCTTACCTGCTGTGCTATTGCTCCAGCCCCCAAAAAAGGAAATTTAAAAAAAATATTCCATGAAGAAAAGATAGTCATTTAAATAAATGGTGCTGGATATTTGATATTCAAGTGTAAAATAATGAAAGCAACCCTTACCTTACACACACATGTGCGCACACACACACACACACACACACACCCCAAACTAGAAATGTACTCAAGATGTAAGATCTGAAACCACAAAACTCTAGAAAAAAAGTAGGGAAATTTATCCCCCCCCCCTCGGGAAAGGTGGGGAGAGGGAGTTGGCCACACCCTTGGTGCTCAGGGGTTACTCCTGGCTCTGCACCCAGGAATTACTCCTGGAGGTGTTGGGGGGTGGAAGGGACCATATGGGATGCTGAGGATTGAACCCAGCAAGAAAAGTGTCCTACCTGCTGTGATATCACTCTAGCCCCAATAATCCAATTTTTTAGATGGCAAAAGATCTAAGCAAACGTGTTTCCAAGAAGATATTCAAATATCTAACAGGTGAAAAGATGTCTTAATCAGGAAAATGCAAATCAGAACTGCAATGAGCTCTCTCACTTGATCCCTGGTAGAATGCCTGCCATCAAAAAGACAAGAGAGGGGCCAGAGCATGTAGGGTGCTAGCCCTGCACATGAGCATCCCAGGTTCAATTCCCAGAATACCTTATGGTTCCCTAAGCCCATCAGGAGTGATCCTTAAGTGAAAAGCCGGAGTAAGTCCTGAGCACTGTCGGACGTGGCCCCAAAAGAACAACTGTCTGTAGCACTGTCCTCCTGTTCATCGATTTGCCCAAGCAGGCAACAGTAATAATGTTTCCATTGTGAGACTTGTTTTTACTGTTTTTGGTATATCAAATATGCCACGGGTAGCTTGCCAGGCTTTGCCATGCGGGCAACAACATTTATAAAAAAATTACAAGAGATCATACATGCTGGCAAGGATGAGAGAAAAGGGGGCCCCTCAGTGCTGCTGAGATTGTCAATGGTGCAGACATTATGGAAACCAGCGCAGAGGTTCCTCATAAATTTAAAAAACAGAACTACTGTGTGGTGCAACGATTTTTGATTAAGAATTTCTGATTAAGACTCTATAAAGAAAGAAAGGAACAAAAGAATGATCACAAAGAGATTAGCTGCTCTGTTCCTATGTCAGCATTGCTTACAATAGTCAAGACATGGAAACAACCTAAGTGTCCAACAATGGAGAAATGGATAAAGCAGTTGGGATACAGAGTAATATTTTTCAGCCACCAAGAAAGAGAGAAATCCTGTCATTTGCAACAATATCATGGAATGTGAGGGCATTAAGCTAAATAAGTTAGAAAAAATACCGTATGATTTTACTAAAGTAGAATTTTAAAAATTAAAAACAAAACTCATAGAAAAAGATGAAATTTGTAGTTGTGAGATGCAGGGAAAGATGAGAAGTGGAAGTGGATAAAGATAGCAATCAAAAGGAAACAAATCTTTTGGATAAAGGTAGCAATCAAATTGGAAACAAATTTCCAATTTCAAGATAAATAAGTACTAGGGATATAACATATAGCATGATGACTATAAGCTTACACCACTAGATGGCATTTTTTAACTTATTAAGAGTAGACACATCACAAGGAAGAATACACACCAAGAATACACATCACGAGGAAGCCTGGTTTTTCCTTTTTAAATAAATATCTGAGATCATCAACATTAATTAAACTTCTTTTTCGTAATCATTTCAAAACATCAAGTCATTAAAATGTATACCTTAAACTAAAATTATTTTTCTTCAATTATATCTCCAAAAAAATGAAAGAAAAACAGTATTTTAAAATAAGATGAACCTATGCCATATTATATATCTTTACTGCAAAATACTGTGGTCAAACAAATTAGTACAGTGGTTTTGGGACTGAAAACACTGTGGTCTTCTCAGAGTGGGGGTGGGCAGCCTTCCTCCACACCCCAGACCACCCTCCAGCAGCCACTCCTACAAAACTGACAGCCCAGAGGAATACAAGAAACTAGATGGAAAAGTAGCACAGAAGTCAACTAAGCTCAATCAGCAAAAACAACACGAGGGCTCAACTAGCAACAAACAGCTCAGTAAATCCTCAATGACTTTAACACTCCTTTCCACATATTTTCTTCTACTGAACTATAGTTTTGTTGTTGTTGTCGTTGTTGTTTTTTGCTTTTTGGGTCACACCCAGCGATGCTCAGGGGTTATTCCTGGCTCTGCACTCAGGAATCACTCCTGGCGGTGCTTGGGGGACCATATGGGATGCCAGGGATCGAACCCAGGTCGGCTGCGTGCAAGGCAAATGCCCTACCTGCTGTGCTATCGCTCCGGGCCCCTGAACTATAGTTTGATAATTCTACTTAACATTTTGTTGTAAAAAAAATATAAAATAAATTATTTTATGCCTGCCAATGGGCTGGAGCACTAACACAGCAGGTAGGGCATTTGCCGTGCACGTGGCCGACCCGGGTTCAATTCCTCAGTCCCTCTCGGAGAGCCTAGCAAGCTACCGAGAGTATCCCGCCCACACGGCAGAGCCTGGCAAGCTCCCCATGGTGTATTCGATATGCCAAAAACAGTAACAAGTCTCACAATGGAGACGTTACTGGTGCCTGCTCGAGCAAATTGATGCACAACGGGAGGACAGTGCTACAGTGCTATGCCTGCCAATGGGACGGGCTTGTAGGGTGGGTGGGAACCTGGAGTCAATGATAAAGGGAAGGTCACACTGCTGGTGGGATTGTGTAGGGACACTGAATGCCTGAAACAACTGAATTATGAACAATTTTGTAAACTACAGTATTTAAATAAAGTTTTAGAAAAGCCCAACAAATTGGTACCTCGTTGTCAAAGTCTATGAACAACTCTACTGAGTACTTTAGTATAAACTAGTATATGGTTGTATATCAATAGACAGGCCGGAGAGACAGAGATAACAGGCTGGGCATGATTTGTATGCAGGAGGTGCCAGTTTGATCCCTGGAACCTTGTGGTTCCTCAAGTATCACCAGGAGCAACCTCTGAGCACCAAGTTGGAAGTAACCCTGAGCATTGCCAGTTGTGGAACAAAAACAAATTTTATTTTCTTTTTTTGTTTGTTTTGTTTTTGGGTCACACCCGGTGATGCACAGGGGTTACTCCTGGCTCTGCACTCAGAAATTACTCCTGGCGGTGCTCAGGGGACCATATGAGATGCTGGGAATCGAACCTGGGTCGGCCGCGTGCAAGGCAAACGCCCTACCCGCTGTGCTATCACTCCAGCACCCCCCACAAAAAAATCTTAAAACAAAAACGAATTATAAGTATTCTTACCAAAATTCAAGCTAGATTCCAGTTATAGTTTCATTATTTATTTATTTGGCTTTTTGGGTCACACCTGGCAATGCACAAGGGTTACTCCTGGCTCTGCACTCAGGAATCACTCCTGGTGGTGCTCAGGGGACCATATGGGATGCTGGGAATCGAACCCAGGTTGGCCGTGCACAAGGCAAATGCCCTACCCGCTGTACTATCACAGCTCCAGCCCCCGATTTCAGTTATAGTTTTAGAACTGTGTTATAGTTACAGTTTTGTGTTATGTTATAGTTATAGTTTTAGAACTGTAGTTTTTAGAACTGTGGGTAAGAGATTATAGGCCTGATATCCATATTATTATCTGGACTAGTAAAGATTAAGCTAGTGAGGCAGCATTAAGGCCACTCAGCTGGGGCCAGCAATGCTGGAGGCCCAAGGCCACAGCTGGCAGTACTTGGAGGACTGTGGTAAGAAGGGTCAAACTCAGGTCCCAGCTAATGTAGGGCTTATGCTCCAGTTCTTTGAGCAATTTCTGCGGCCCAAGATATTTCCAATTAAAGGTATTTTATGGGTTCAATCTCCGGTACTGCATATGGTCCCAGCACTGCCAGGAGTGGTCCCTGAACACAGAGCTGAGAATGATTCTTGAGCACAGAGCCAGGAGTATGCCCTGAGCAGCGCTGGGTATGGCCCCAAAACAACAACAACAACAAAAGATGCTCTAGAGAGTACATAGCAGTTTTACTAGCACTTCAATGAATTTACTTTTCATATTACAAAATCTCAAGGCATAACAAAAGATAACATGGGGAGGGGGGAATTATTCTCACCGCTTTGATTAGCATATCTAAATCTGTGGATTCAAACTTGTCAGGATTCAGGTGGTTTAGGTGATCAAACTGTTTTAGAAGAGCATGATGGTCTATGCCTGTATCTGAAAGAAAGTGGTAAATGAACAATTACTAGAAGCTAAAAATGGTCAGTGGACTCACTAGGAAAAAGAAATATACAAATATGGAATAATGGAAGGTAAGAAAGAAGCCTAATGGAAATGGAAAGAAGGCAGACTGTGTAAATTTATGATTTCTAAAATATGTACGTATACATGGATGTTCATGTACATTTTGTGTATATGGGCATGTATGTGCACATGCATGTGTACACATGTACATGTATATATGCAGGGATGTGAAGATATTTTCTACCTCTGTTAATGAAAGTTCCAAGAAGAAAATACATTACAGAAATAATGAGCACACCGAGTCCCCATCTTTTCTGTAGTATCTTCTAATACAAAGTACCAGGTATCCTCAAAGAAATGGCTGATTCCAGGGCTGAAGCAGAGTAGGCACAAGATGAGTCTGGGATGTATTGTTATGCCAGAAAGTGATGAACTGCTTAAAATACTTCCAGAAAGCTCACTAAATTCTTAGTTTTACACTGGTCTAGAAGTTTACTTACAAAGAACAGATCTGGGGCCTGGAGTATATGACAATAAATTATGGTTGATGGGACTGTATATACTATCTCTGTGGCAGTGACAACAGCTATCAAAATGGCAAATACATATATCTTTATGTACAGTGGGTAGGGCATGTGCCTTGCATGTAGCCGACCTGGGTTCAATCCCCAGCATCCCATATGGTCCCCCAAGCACTGATAGGAGTCATTCCTGAGTGCAGAGCCAGGAGTAACCCCTGTGCATCGCTGGGTATGACCCAAAAAGCAAAAACAAAACAAAACAACACAAAACAAACAAAAAACAAAGAACAGATCTGTCATAAGTCCTAGCCCTGAAGCATATGAGCACACAAATACATGAAAAGACACTTGACCTCAGTCAAAATGAGAAAAATACATGCAGAAGGAAGATAGAACAGTAGTTATGGCACACACTAGCCACTTATTTAACCAGGTTTCAGCTCCTGGCATCATGAGGCTCCCAGCATTTCCTAGGCAGGCCCAGAGGTTCCTGAGAAAGGCCTGGGTGGCCCAACTGTCCCCAGAACCACAGAGAAGGAGCAGCATCACATCCTCAGATCCCTGCTTTGAACTGCTGGCCCAGCTGCTAAAAACTGAGTGAGAATGCTCAGAAAACAGAGATGCACACAGTAAAACTGCATTATTAATATCATTCATCAGAGTTAACACCTCTCCTTAAGTTTGAAGGTACATACTATCAGCAAAGTTACAACAAACTGTGGTTGATGTGACTGTATATACTATCTCTGTGGCAGTGGCAACAGCTATCAAAATGACATACATATATCTTTAGGTTAAATGATTTCTCTATGGAGAACGTAACCTACAACTAGTATTACATGGATACATAATGATATGTATACAAGACTGTTCTCCTAAAATAACCCAAATATCCATGAATAGTACCTGGTTAAATAATAATGGAAATCAATGCAGCTGTACATTATTTATTTTTCTTTTTGAGTCACACCTGGCGATGCTCAGGGGTTACTCCTGGTGGTGCTCAGGTGAACCATATGGGATGCTGGGAATCAAACCTGGGTTTGCCGCGTGCAAGGTAAATGCCCTACCTGCTACACTATGGCTCCAGCCCCTGTTCATTTTTTTTTTAAAGCTTGGCAGATTTTATTTATTTATTTTTGCTTTTTGGGTCACACCCAGTGATGCTCAGGGGTTACTCCTGGCTCTGCACTCATGAATCGCTTCTGGCGGTGCTGGGGGACCATATGGGATGCCGGGGATTGAAGCTGGGTCAGCCGCGTGCAAGGCAAACATCCTAACCGCTCTACTATCATTCCAACGCCTCCCTGTTCATTTTTTTAAAGGAAGCAGGAGCATGTAAGGGGGAAGTGAAGGTGGAGAAAGGAGAAGAGAAAAAAGAAGAGGAGAAAGGAGGAGGAGGTGGAGGTGAAGGATAAAGAATAAATTATTTACTAACCCAAAAATACCTCCAAATTATATTAGAGGAAAAAAAAATGTAGATGACTCATCCCAAGTTGCTCTCTGGAAAAAATCTGCATATATGTATACGTAATTTTTAGTTTGGGTGCTTTGGGGGGAATAGGATAGCCCAGACTCAGCCGAGCGACTCCCAGCTCTGTACCCAGGGTTGTTTCTGGCAGTGCTCAGAAGACCACGTGGTGCTGGGGACCGAATCAGGGTTAACCGCAGGCGAATCAAGCGTTTTAACCCCTTGTATGATGTCTCCACAACTTTGGGGGGCTTTTTAATCAGACCTTCAGAAAATTCTCATGTATTCTGAAATTTAAGAATGACAGTTTCCAGAGCACAATGTGTTAAGTGAAGAGAGCAGAAAGAACAAATAATGACCTCTCTCATCGTTAGGGCATAAAAAATGGCCAATGGTAACATAGCCCAAGACTCAGCCTACAGAACTGAGCTTGCTAAGGAGTGGGGGTGGAGGAGGGTGGGGGTGAGGAGAGACACTGGTGGAGTGACACTGACATTCAATTAGTGAGTGTGGCATCAGAACATTGCAGACCTGAAATATCATCATTAACAATATTTTAAATTAAGGTGCCTAAATAAAAACTGAAGTGAGGGAAAAGATGGTCCGTGTGTGGGTGGGGAACTCAATGGGCTGAGTTCACACTCTGCATCTGGGAGGTCCAGGTTCGATCCCCAGCACTGCCATGGTCCCCTGAGCACCAGTGTGGGCAGCCCCCACCCCCAAGCACCACACTTGGAGTAATCCCAAGCATCATGTGGTATAGCCCAATCCCCACTCCATCGTTGTCTGATAAAAAAATAAGCAATTTCTTTTTTTTTTTTTTTTTGCTTTTTAAGTCACACCTAGAATGCTCAGGGGTTACTCCTGGCTCTGCATTCAGAAATTACTCCTGGTGGTGCTCGGGGGACCACATGAGATGCCGGGGATCGAACCCGGGTCAGCCGCATGTAAGGCAAAGAAAAAGCAATGTTCAAAGATTCGTTTCAATTTATCATTTGTCTTTTGGAGGAGGTAGGCCATCTGGGGGCTACTTCTGGTTTTGCTCAAGGGTCACTCCCTGTGGTGTTTGGTGAACCATGTGGTATTGGCGATCAAATTGGGGTTTGCCACATACAAGTCAAACACCTTAATTCTTGCACTATTATTTCCCTGGTCCTTACCATTTGTCTTCTATGACCTTTTGTCACATCAATTTTTCCCTCATTATTTTTATTCATAAGATGATTTATTAGGTTGTAGAACATTAAGTCAAACTTGCTGAATGAAATAAGTGAATTAAATGTACTTTTTATGATTTAGGATTCTTGAAATAGAATAATTTTGGTTTTGACATCAGTCCATAATAAGGATTTGGAAGGTTTCCTTCTTTTTCTATGTTCTGAAATAGTTTGAGTAGCTTAGACAACCTGCTCTCTGATGATCTGACAGAATCTCTTTCATGTTGTCAGGGTGGTTAGTTCTCTGACAATTTTTCTACTTCATCTATGGAAATGGTCCTAATTAGATCTTCTCTCTTCTTTCTCTAGGTTGGCTTTGTTTTTCCTCTTTAAGCCAGTTGATTAAGTCATTATTTCTCATCCTTCCTTTTTATTGATGAGTAAAATTGTTCAAAGCTAACACATTTGATTTTTGAATGTGAGTGTATTATCTATTCAAAATTACTTACTAAAATTGTTTTTAAATTATAGAAGGCAAATCAATAATAATATTAAATTTTTGACAGAAAAACATGTCATATGCTAATAGAAACTGAACTCCACAACCAAATATTGAAATTTCCTAGCTTTTACACTTACCTTGAAGAGAATCCAACTTAACTTTAATGAGCATTCTTAACCTTGACACTTCTTGCCTTTTCAATTCATCAAGTTTTGTTCTCACATGGTGACTTACTAAATCAAGCTCTTTGCTTAGCCTTCCACTCTGTTAACAAGATTAATAAATTAGTTTAATCTATTACATTTATCTATTACATTTGACCATACACAATATATTAAAATAGGTTATTATAAAGTAATGAAAATAATTTTGACTCATTTGATATAATAAAAAGCATTTCTTTCAGAGGAGATTCCATATTAATTCTGAAACCAAATGTACACTGTGGAGAGATGGGTGTTGGAACACTGTATGACTGAAACCTGATCATGAACAGCTGTGTAACTATATCTCATGGTGATTCAATAAACAAAGAAAAGATGTCAGTACCCCCTATAATTGAGATAGTACAGAATTAAAGCAGAAAGGATTAAAAAAAATAGGACCAGAGAAATTAAAGAGTGGGGGCACATGCTTTGCTTGCTTGAGGTCTGAGTTCACACCCCGGCACTGCATGGTCCCCAGGACACCTCTGGGAGTGACCCCTGGGTATAGAGCCAAGAGTAGCCCCTGAACACTGCTAAGGTATGTACAAGCCTAGCAAAATTCAGAGTCTAATTTCTGACAATGCACGCCCTCCCCCATACAAAGGGAGGGAATGACCCTTATATGAAAAAAAAAAAGTAATGTTTTATATGAGTATTCACAGCAGCATTACTCATATGGAAAAAATTGCAAAAAGCAGTGGGGGCGGGGCTGGAGAAATAGTACAGGGAAAATGGGGTAAGGAGCTTTCCGTGCATATGTGGCCAACCCCAGTTAGATCCCTGGTACTACAGATGGTCCCTTAAGCACTGTCAGCAATGAACCCCAAGCACACAGCCTGGAAGACCTCCTAAGCACAATCACGGATGGACAATCTGCCATCGCCCAAATAATGCTCTTATCCTAATTTAAGTACTTAGAGGCAAACAGGAGGAATTGATAGTACAAAGGGCAGAGTTTGGTTTGCACATGGCCAACTTGTGTTTGATCTCAGAATAGGAGTAAGCCTTGAGCATAGCTGATAGAGAGGTGGAGGCAGAAGAGGAGGAGGAAGAGAAGAAGGAAGAGGAAGAGGGGAGAAGAAAGGAAAGAAGAAAGAGGGAGGAAAGGAGGGAGGGAGGGAGGGAGGGAGGGAGGGAGGGAGGGAGGGAGGGAAGAAGGGGGGAGGAAGGGGGGAGGGAGGAGGAGGAAGGGAGGGAGGGAACGAACAGAGATGTGGAGTATGGAGTGGGAACAGTGACTGCAGGAAAGTGTTTAGTAACAGCTTTGGAAACCACAGTGCCTAAATTAACAAACAAACCTGTCATGTCCAGAAGAAAAGATACAAGTACCTCTCACATCAGCACTTCACAATTCCCTTTCTTTACTGTCAGATGAGACTACTGAGAGACATTTTGCCATGATGTGACTAGGATGTGGAGGGCCACGATCATTTGTAATTAGGTACTTAGGACAGCGGCAAATAATTAAACTTCCCCTACTGGCAGAACATACAGTCCATTAACTCTTCTATTAATCTTCACCCAATTGAAACACCAGAATGTAATCTCTTCTAAACCTCTGATGAGCTCCCTCCATCATGAGTGAAGACCCTGATTCCAGTACTTGAGGCCCCCAGTATAGAATAGAGCTAGCCCAGGATTCTCTGCACCTCATCTTTTAGTCAGTCGTGGTCTCCACTTCCAGAGAGGCTCGGCACAGCCCCTCCTCCAGGCTTCCTGTAAGTCCCTTGTGCCCTGGGCTACCTCCTAGTCTCCTCTTCCCTATCTTTAAGCTCTGGCAGAATCTCTATAGGAGGAATGACTTCCCAGCTTCTGCCATTGCTAGAATTATGTCTCTCTCCTCTGTATCTCCAAGATGTATTACACACTCATCATATATTGATCCTAAGAATCTTTTTTTCCGTAGCGTATTCTCCCGAGAGAGTTCTCTAGGAGTTGACACCGAGTCTCATCTTGGTGTCCCCATTACTTAACTCAGCATCTGGCGGGTTCAAATGTCTATTAAATAATTATTCAATTCCATTTACCTTTATTTCCTCTATGTCTGCTTTTTGGAGTTTTTCTCTAAAATGACTATCTGTTTCCAGCACATCAATCACTTGCTTGAGATATTCATCATAATAAAGTCCAGTGTCCTTGAAATTAAGAAACAAACAATAATGCTTCTGTGTTTCTTTTTTTACATCTAAAGATCTCAATCCTCAAAATAAATAAAATTAATAATAAAATTAAAATTCTAGCAGAACGGCATTTAGCTTTATCTATACTGATATTCTGGACAAAATTCAAAAGTTGTTATTTCTCAAAAGAAGATGTCTACATCAGAACCAATATCATGTCTTACGAAGATTGGTTTTTTTCTAGTTTAGTGTTTCTCGGCCTTCTTCCAATTATGTCCCCCTTACAACCCTGTTTTTTCCTATGGTCCCCTGTCCTACCGGTTGGCCCTCTAGTCTCATATCATGACTCCCATTTACATGATCTTCACCTGTAGCCCCCTCGGAACATGCAAAGGTGCCCCATGGCTGCCAGTTGAGAAACACTGGTTTAGACAACAAAGAATAACACTGAATCCCTCCCCCACACCCCCTTCCACCACCCCACATTCACCCATTGTCATTTGTGTCTTCTTATTGCTATCTGTCTCTCCTTTGGCTATGAAACAGTGCTTTCTTGGCTGGTTAACTACATTAGAAATGTTATTATGATTATAGGCTGGGTTTTGATTAATTCTTCCACACACACTCTAATGCACTACTATATTAAACACTGTCTAATATTAAATAACATGCTTATCCAATACTTTCTTCAGTGCCATTTCAGAAGTAATACTGAAGTACCCAACTTTTACCAATGATAAATATTAGAAACAAATCAGTTAAAATCCTTCTCACAGGAAGAATTATCATTGGACTCACTGGCGGCTCTAGCTTGGCACTGTCCACAGGCTGAGTGTCTTTTACTTTTGTCTTGTCTACGTCGATAGGCACTGCTTCCAGGGCAGTTAGTAGATATGTAACCAAGAGAAAACAATATTGAAATAGGATGGTCCGCCACGTCATCTGAAATAAAGATTTGAGTATAGTAAGATCCTGAAATAATGTTTTCAAGCTATGAATTCCCAATGCTATATTAACAATACATTTGGGGCGGAGCAAAGGAACAGTAGGTAGGGTGCTTGCCTTGCCGACAGCTAAACCTGGAGGATTCCTGGCAGCCCATATGGTTCCTGAGCCCCATCAGATGTGATCCCTGGACACAGAGTCAGGAGTAAGCCCTGAGCACTGCTAGATGTGCCCCTCCCCCAAAAAATACATAATAATATAGTCAACCTCAGAAAGTTTAATCAATGAAAGAATTCCAGAAAATTATAAACAAAGCTGTTTATTTTGGGGGGGTTTGTTTTGATTTGGGGTCACACCCAGTGGTTCTTGAGGCTTACTTCAGGGTCTGCACTCAGGGTCACTCCTGGAGGGCTTGGGGGACCATAATGGATATCCGGGTAGGCCATGTGCTAGGCAAGCACCTGACCAGCTATACTATTGCTCCGGCTTTAAAGAAGGTTATTTTGAGCCCGCCGTCCTTCGACCCACTGGCTGGTTGCCGATAAAGCGCCTTCTGTCTGCCTGTCACCATGTCTCCTATGATTGGCCCTTGAGTGGTTGCAGAACTGAACCTTGAGGACTATAATTTGGTGAAGCCACAGGGAGTGGAATCCCAAAGCCTCAAGACAAAATCAGGTGAGAAAATTTCCAGGTACACCGCTTCCTCTGGCTGACAGGGACCCCCTGGGATCTGTCCCCACTCTTTCCCAGCTGAAAATAGTTGCCTCTTACACCACTCTCGATGTGTCAGAGAAACAGCCGGGGGTAAGCTGATGGACTCTGTGTGTGACCAACTGTGTGGTACATGCCCAAGCCAGTCTTCCCCTGTATCAGGCCCCCATTTCCCTGTGGACTGGGACAGTTCTGTGAGCACTCTCTAGAAGTGGGAAGAGTTGTGGACTTTTTTTTGTTGTTGCAAGTTGGGGATAGCTCAAGCAGTACTCAGATACACAAGCAGCCTGTGTCCTACAGTGCAGGAGATGCTGGAAGCCTCCAGGGCTGCACCTGGTTTGAGGGGTTTGGGGATGCAGACTACATTGAGAAGGGGAAATTCTGATCCAGAAAGTACTTCTGTACTGTGAGAACTCTGGCATGTTGAAGCCAGGTTAGAGTCTGAAGGAGAAACCTTCATGTTTAGATCTGGTTAAACTAGCAGGCTGAATCATTGCTAGAGACCAGGGCAATGTGTAATCTAGCCAGTAAAGTGAGAGTTTTCACTGGCTAAGTGAGAGTTTTCCTGCCCACCTCCTAAGCTCCTGGGCCTGGGTGCTTCAGTCTTGTGGCAAGTTTGGTTTGTGTTATATGCTGTCATTTGGGGTTTGGAGAGTTCCCTCCACAATTATCATGTTGTGGGATCAAAGTTCTGTCTTTTCTGTTAAAAAGGAAAGCCAAAAGTGGAGATATTGGCAGTTCTAATAGTTGTTCTGGCTCCAAGAGATCCAAGGCTTAACTAAATCTGTTAATATGTTGACTCTTTCCTTTTATTCCACCTTATGAGCTTTGGATCTGCTGGATAAACAAAAGAAATGTGTATTGATTTGTTGGGTCACAATTAAATTGGAAGATATTTTTCACTGGAATAGTTCTAAATTGGTTATTGGACCTATGAAAAATCTGGAATTTCCCATCTAGATTTCCAGTTGGGAAAAGAGAAAATGAATGAAAAAGGTATGGGTAGCAAAGCAAAATTTTTAATACCTGATTATCAGACTGTATGTTAAGGTTTCAGTGGCCATGAGGAAGTATTTCAGATACTGCTCTAAGTTTAAAGCCACAAATCTAAATAAAAACTAGAATGGAATGATTTAGCTATTAGAGGAAGACAAAAATTCTCAGTCTATGCCTTCAGCTGAAATCTGTCTTGTGTGACTTACAGAAAAGAAAAATCATTTTTAGATTGGATTAAATGTTTTTTTGTTATTGTTGTTGACTGAACAACTTCATGGTTTACCTTCCAGGCCACGACCCAGGTTCAAGAACAAATGAGGAGACTTTGCCTCAAAAATAAAGACAGGATTTTAGAAACTTTAAGTAGAAAGCTTGAAGCGGAAGTCTTGAACTACTAAAATTATTGTTTTTTTTTTTAAAGTCCTTGTGTTTTGAGGGTCTGAGAGATGTATAGGAGTTAAAACATTTGCTTTGGGGCTGGAGTTAAAACATTTGCTTTGGGGCTGGAGTGATAGCACAGAGGGTTCGATTCCCAGCATTCCATATGGTCCCCCGAGCACCACCAGGAATAATTTCTGAGTGCAGAACCAGGAGTAACCCCTGTGCATCGCTGGGTGTGACCCAAAAGGCAAATAAAATAAAATAAAAATTTGCTTTGAATGTAGTCCAGAGGTTCAATCCCCAGCACCTATGGTCCCGTGACCACCATCAGGAGAGTGATCACTGAGCATGAAGCCAGAGTAAGCCCTGAGCATAGCCAGGTATCACTCAATAACCAAAGAAATTAAAAAGAAAAGGAAAAGAAGTGAATGCCTGCCAAGATACTGGTTAAATAAAAAAACAGCTGCTGAACTGACCCTATGAATACCAAAGCAAATTACCAGAAAACTTTCCAAATACTTAACCTAGATATTCACAAAAATAAGTTGCAATGTAATTGACATATGAAATATATGCACAGAGAAAAAGCCTCCTGAGCACACAGCAAGAAGGTGACTATAAGACAGGAAAAGGGGCTGGAGCGATAGCACAGCAGTATCACTGTGGGGTAGGGTGTTTTGCCTTGCATGTGGCTAACCTTGGTTCGATTCCCAGCATCCCATATGGTCCCTGAGCATTGCCAGGGGTAATTCCTGAGTGCATGAGCCAGGAGTAGTCCCCGTGCATCGCCGGGTATGACCCAAAAAGCAAAGACTGGAAAAGAGTTCTCATCAGAAGCTGCCCCTGGGGTTGGAGTGATGGTACCGGGTGTAGGGCGTTTGCCTTGCATTTGGTCAAATCATTTGATCCTCAGCATCCCATATGCTCACCCCTGGCACTGACAGGAGTGATTCCTGAGTGCAGAGCCTGGAGTAGCCCCTGAGCATTACCAGGTGTGACCCACAAAACAAAACAAATGGGAGCCTGGCCCTGATTACATACTTCGGCCTTCGGGATGGAGAGAAACTTGTGCCTGGCATTCAAACCTTCGGGCTGTGGTGTTTTGTGATGGCAGCCCAAACTCTGTTAATAAAACCATAAATTTGGATGAGGAGACACCCCCCCCACCCACCCACCCACTCCAATCGGAACTGGCCGCATGTGCACCAGTGACTGCTGTATTTCCTGTTCCTTGACCCTTTAAACAAGAGTGTTCACTGAGGGCTGGAGAGATAGTATAGCAGATAGGGCTCTTGTCTTGTATGTGGCTGGCCTAGGTTCGATTCCCAGCACATCAGATGGTCCCCCAAGACTGCCAGACGTGATCTCAGCAGCAGAGCCAAAAGTAATCCCTTAGCACTGCCAGGCATAAGGGGATAGGAAGAAGGGATGAGAAGAGATAGGAAAGGGAGAGAAGGGGAGGGAACAGAAGGGAAGGGAAGGACTGCTCAATGCATTGACCTCATCTCTGAATCTTAGTGCCTGCTGAGTGTATGGATGGAGATACCCTTTCTTTTTGCTTCGCAGATCTTTGTATTGAAAGAAACTGTCCATTAGCATTTCTCAGTCGTTTTATCCACCATGGCCACCTTCCAACATTGTTTCCTTCCTGTAGCTCCTGGGTCTGACCAGTTGCCTCCATTTATGTGATTTTTGCCTGTGTCCCCCTTGGAATATCCTCGGGAACCCTGGGGGTGGGGGTTGTCTGGCCCCTGGTTGAGCAAAACTGCTCTAGAGAACAATAAACAATATCAAAGGAACCTCATCAGCCTATGACCTTTATTAATAATAACCTAAACCTCAAACTTTTGGGGGGTAGGCTTTTTTCCCCCTTTTTGGGTCATACCTTTTTGGGTCAATGCACAGGGGTTACTTCTGGCGCTGCACTCAGGAATTACTCCTGGTGGTCCTCAGGAGACCATATGGGATGCTGGGAATCGAACCTGGGTTGGCTGCATGCAAGGCAAACGCCCTACCCACTGTGCTATCATTCCAGCCCCTTGGGGGAGGCTTTTAAAAAGTGCATTTTACTATACAGAGGAATGTAGTAAATAATTTGTGTCAGGAAATGAACAACAGCTGACTAAAAATGGTAACAATTTGTTTGGATTTTAAAAAAAATAGATGAAGAAAGAAAATTTAGTTTCAACCTGATTCTGAACATTGCTCTATGAATGTAAGTTGATTTAAAAAAAATAAAAGATACAAATAAGTAGTTACAGATAATTCTCTTGGCTTTACTACTAAAATTATTCAAAGTTATATCTCCTTCTGGGCTAGAGCGATAGCACAGCAGGTAGGGCGTTTGCCTTGCACGCAGCCAACATGGCCAACCTGAGTTCGATTCCTCCGCCCCTCTCAAAGAGTCCGGCAAGCTACCGAGAGTATCTCGCCCGCACGGCAGAGCCTGGCAAGCTACCCGTGGCGTATTCGATATGCCAAACACAGTAACAACAAAGTCTCACGATGGAGACGTTACTGGGCCCGCTCGAGCAAATCGATGAACAACAGGAGGACAGTGACAGTGATATCTGCTTCTAGTCAGTGTTCTCTAATTGCCCCTGGGCCAGCAGAGAATGGTCTGTTAAATAACACCTACAGATAATCTGATGCAGGCTAATAAGTTTAAAAACAGTGTCACACAAACCTCCTGTACGTGCCCAAGGGAGAGGTAAAGACAGTGTTTATCTAAAAATAAATAAATAAAACAATGTTTATTCAAATTAGAGTTCCTGAAACTGTGACTGAGGCTGACATTTTTAGTGGAACAGAAGTTCTATTATAAGAATGTGTAGAATTTCCATGAAATTCATGTTGTAAGGTGATCTGGATTCTGCACTTTTCCTACAGAATCCTTGGTGACTTTTTCA